ACAACGATTATAAATAACGACTATTCGACAAATTGCATTTTATCTTGGCTCGATGTATTCAATCAAGCCAATTTTTTCTTCAAAATAGTCAGAGGACTTTACTCAACTTGGTGACTTCTCTTGAACTAGGATACCATATATATATATATATATATATATATGGTCTTTTAGAGCAGATTGTAACGCCTCGAATGATATATATACAAAATTAAGTCTATTTATGCAAATTTGCTGTTTAACTCAATTCAATAAAATTATAGGTATTCTTCAATCTTTTCTAATCAATAGTTTTCATCGATACTTTCTTTATAATTAAAAATGATCATTTTCAGTGGATCTAGAGAATTTCCTTGACTATATGACATCTCATTGTACTCAATGTTGCATCCATCTTCAGACTAACAGGGACTCATTATCTACTTTCAAGATTATTTGATGGAATAGTCTATTTTCATATATGATAGGATCAGTATATTGGCAATAAATAGTATAGTATCTCTGATAAATTGATATAAATATCTCCTTCATAAATGAAAGCGAAACTCTTCACTAATATACAGAAAAAAAAACATTCAATCTACTCATTGATATATGTTTCATTGAAATAGTTTATTAAGCATATTTATCTATAAAATACATCGAACTATGAAAAAAAAGTCTAAAAATAAGTAAAAATTCATAAAAACAATTTTGTAGGCTCTAGTTGGATGTTGTAATTCTATAAGAAAATTCTATTTGAATCTCTCAAATACAGTTCGAAAATAGGCTCTTAGAGATTTTATTGACAAAGAAAAACACTTGAAAATGATGAAAAGAATATAAAAATACATTCTATTGTAATTCGATTGATAAATATAAAAATAATGTTGAATAAAACAAAAACAAATATTTAAGTAAGCAATTTTGTTAGACAACTATTGTACTAATCAATGTTTTGTTGTCACTCGTTGCTGTCATTGTTTTCATTTTTTTTCTGTATTTTTACCGTCAATATGTATCTTTTATTGATGGAGACGATTTTCAAAACTTCACACATATTGTCATACTAAATATGTATGTTTGACAAGATATTCTTTGAAAAAATCTGGACAATCAAAAATCTTATTATGTTCCTTTTCATATTCTCAAATGAAGATGCTCGAATTGGTCAACTGATGTCTAGTTTTCTACTTGATCTTTTATTATATTTTCTGAGAAGTTGTTATATATTAATTAGTTAAATTGATAATATATGTCATTCTATAAAGTAATGTTCTTGTTTCATTATTTTATTTGTTATTTCTAATGAAATTATTTGTACCTTTTGTTAACATACTCTGTTCTTGTTACTACGGATGATGATGAATATTTAATCATTATTTTTCAAAAGATTTTTAGGACATTTTCTTCGTTTTGTTCAATTTCTTACCCCTTTTTTTGCTCATCAATATTGATAAAAGAATCGATTTGCAATCATCCAGAATTTCTTCAATTTTACCTTTGATAAATTTACATGATCTTAATTAAAAATGAATGGTTGATAATTGGTTTTAGTCATCAAACGAAGTCACGCTTCCCTCGTGCTAAATTGTATTTCTCTTTTGACTACTTTCTTTTCTATTGAAACTGAGGTGAGAATTTGAGATCATTAAACCAGACCTTGTATATTTTCCGGTGTTGGAGAGGTTTTCAGTCAGGATTTACTTTAGTATGTGGGTGTGAAATGGTGTGAGTGTGCATCAAAAAAAATATTCATTCACACCGACACATCCACACACATTCGAAACCTCAATGATTATTTTCTTAATCAAATATTCTGTTCTTCAGAAACAAAACTGATTCAATGATTGAATTTCTCGACTTTGCAAATCATAATGTAAGCTTTTCTGAAATCATTGAAATTTCTACAGCAACAAAACGATTATTTTGAATCGAAATACGGTAATATGTTTATTAATCATATTCGATATATGAAAAATAGCTTGGTTAGAAAAGAAGCTGATAGCTGATACATAGTTTGAAGTATGTTTAGTTTTAAAATATTCTTATCTCTCAAGAAAGTCGACGGATATTGGTTTGTTTCTTGGGTGTATTCTACAAGACAAACAATTTTATCGAATTTTGAGTGTGTTAGTGACAAGCATTTTGTGACTGTTGACGATCATCGACCCAACTAATTTCAATAAAACTGTTCTAAACGGGTGTGTGTGGGTGTGGGTGTGGGTGTGAGTGTGGGTGTGGGGTGTGGGTGTGGGCGTGGGTATAGAATAAATGACAAAACACATCCACACACCCACACCCTCACCCTCACACCAACACCTACACCCACACCCATGCAGACCCACACCCACGCCCACACCCCACACCCACACCCACACACACATCCACACCCTTTTTCTATCTTTCAGGGTGAAATAACAAATGGAATACAAAGGAAATGGACACATGATGAAGTTATTATGAATGTATTTTTATTTTTAATAGCCGGCTATGAAACAACATCGACAGCTCTAGCTTGTGCAACGTATATATTGGCATTGTATCCACATGAACAAATCAAATTACAAGAAGAAATTGATCGTTCACCGTTAAGTGATGCCAACGAATTGGAACAATTGGATTTATTTATCAAAGAAGTTCTTCGCATGTATTCAATACCAATATCATTTGTTAATCGTCTTTGTCTCAATGACACAATTGTTTGTAACCAACATATTTCTAAAGGTAACCATGAAGAAAGTTTTCTTACATTGCTTAGTCTAAATTCAATTCTGAAATTATTTTAGGTGATATTATACAACCTGATATCTATTCGATCCATTATAATTCTGAACTTTGGGGTCCTCATGATCCATACGAATTTTATCCCGATCGTCATCGAGACAAACAACGATCACCAATGGCTTTTATGGCGTTTGGCAACGGTCCAAGGAATTGTGTTGGAAAGAGATTTGCTCTACTTGAAATGAAATTATTTCTGGTAAACCTACTTCGGAAATATACTGTATTGAAATCACGAAAACTCGAATCCCATTTCAATATAAGAGAATTAACATTGATAACACCAGATGAAGTTTGGATTCGACTTGAAAAGAGAACACAAACAGTATCTAATTCGGAATCTTGAACATGACGTCGTAATTCGAACGAACTTCTATGTATTTATATATTGCGTCTATATATCCAGGTCATTATGGTTCCAGCAGGTTCCATTCACTTTCGACAATTTCGTTGCAATCGGATTTTAGCACGAACTTGTTAGCGAATTCCAACTGAGACTCGCTGAAGCTCAAATGAATCAATCAGAAGTCAACGAAACTTGCAGAAATCGTTGTCGAAAAATAAGGAAAATCATAAGTTCTAATATTAAGAATGGTGGATCTGGATATGTTATTTTTTGTGACTTTTTTTAAATTGCCTTTTTCCAATGGGATAAATAATTATTTATCGTGTTCTCATGTAGTGAATATCAAAGAATTCCTGGATTGGGTGTGAGTGGGTGTCAATGTGGGTATCGGTGTAGTGGAAGGAATAACCCACACCCACACCCTTCTATTATTGATAAAAGATCTTTCTTTTCAGATTCTGTTGTAAATAAAATACATCTTTTATGTTTCATTTATTTAATTATAAATATCACTGATGATCCATAAATAATTGGATAATTCAATTTTTTTTTCTATAAAGACCAAAAATATAGTTCAAAAAGTTCATTTTAAACTCACTCGATAGAGAATTTTTCTTTCTACGATATTGTGAATTAGATTTTTCAAATAAATTGAACTTGTTAACAAACATTACCAAAGACTTGTAGCCACTCAACTGTTCAGCTATGATTGTCTGTCATATTCTGTGTGTGTATCTAATGATTTCTACAAGCCATTGTTTAGCAAGCTCGTTAGTAAAAGTCAGATATTTATTATTAATAGACAGTCAATTTTATGAAATATGACTTGATTATGTCGTTCATGTACAAATACCTTGTAACTAACATTTAGCGATATTTATCCGAATACACTTTCGATGTGTGGAATTTCAAAAGTTAGACACATTCTTCGAAAGTTTCATTTTCTTAACAAAACAACAATGTAACATTTCAACGAAATAAAGAAGATCTTTGTAGTATTTTTAATCACAAACAAACAATGATGTAGATTTATCAGAAAAAAGTTCTTTTTTCTTGAAAGATTTCACATTCAAATCGTTGGTTTCTAGAAAAAAAACTTTGTTAATCATTTTTGTGCTGTTTCTCGATGGTAATTGGGCAGTTGAATAGTTATCGATCGTTTCTGATTTTTGTTAGTAGCTTGATAGTGAGAAAAATCCTCTATTGAATGAGCTTAGAATGAAATATTTGCATTGCAAGTTCGCATTTTGATAAAAAGAAAATCAACATATGCCCTTCTCTATGGATTTCTTGTTATTTTTGATCATTACTTGACTTCCTATTTATTTTATTTTTCATATACTGGTGATTTATTGTAACGAAGTACTGAAAAGAATACTTCTATTTTATTAAATCACACGAAAGACGTAGTAGAATAAAGATCTGTTTTTACTTTGATTCATTAATGTTATGGAATTAGCAGAGAAAAAAAGACTTTTATTTCGACAAAAACTTAATTATGCTGAAAAAGGAAAAATTTAGAAAAGTAATTTCTCATTTCTATATAAGAAATACAGATCGATCTGTTTTTTAAAAGATCAATTCTTATATTAATGTTTTATATCTAGTAATCATGATTTTTGAGGACATTTTAAAGAATTATCCAATGCTGTTGAATTCATTGAACTAATATGTCAATCTAATCAGTTTTTTTTAATCAGTAAATTTTCTTAATTACTGCAATAGTAAATATCTCTGTCTGATATCTACTAGCAAAGGAAAATCACAAATATTTGCATTTTTATGAAAAAAATCGAAGCAGTCCATATTCTTTTATTGTAGCAAGTTAATATTGATCTAGGCAGTACTTTTGTCATTGATCAAACAATTGTTGAACTTCTTCGATCACATTTTGATTGGTCTTTCGTTGTTTGATTAATGGACTAGACATTGGTGATAAAATCAATTCTGAAGATATGTCTGATACAGTATCTGGTAAAGTTTGCTCATCAGTCTGAACTTCATCACGAAATGTTTCTGTATTCTCTTTGAAATGTGTACTTCCTCGAGGAAATGGTGCAGAATAATATGGTTGAATAGCACTCTTTCTACCAAAAAAACGATAGATACGCCATAAATTAGTTATAATTAGTGTAAAAAAGAATGCTTGTGCATTTGCCTTTTGATCCTTGCATAAGAAATAAATTATTTTAGGTATCCATATAGGTGCAAACAATGTTGTTAGTATTAGTATTTCAATAATAACTAGTCCAATGATAGGTTTTTTATGTTCAACCGAAGGTAAAGATTGTAAATATTCTATATATAATGGATGAATTTTATAATGAATTGCACCACTACGGAGAAGACCAATATAACGATTGCTTGGTAATGCATGATGATACAATATGGTTGGACTTGTCTGTTGAACAACTAATGCATATGCTTCAATTATACGACCGTCGTATGCATGCACAGTAACTTTTTTTGGTATATATCCAGTTGCATCAACTCCACTACCTCCTTCAGTTGCCATTAAATGTTTAAATTCTTTACTAGTTATTTTATGTAGGACTCCATGAATTTCAGCATCAGGATTTTCTTTAATATTGCCAAAACATGGTTCAACCGCAGGAATACCACGAAAGTCGAATGTCAACTGCCATCCTTCCAATATTCCTGAAATAGATTCTATCGGATGAATTTTTCGTCGACCAGTTAAAACACTAGGAAGCATGTTGGAGCCATATGCAAAATTGTATACGTAATCAGGATAGTTTAATGGAAACAAGGGCTCCGCAGTTGCATTAGATGCATTCATCTAGAATAAAGCTAAATATTCTATTGAAAAGAGTATATGATATCTTTACAGAACCCATTGAAAATTATTTTTAGAATCGATTAGCCCAAGAAAATATTTCAACGCTTCATTCATATGTTCCAAGTACAACATATTCTATGTAAATTTTTCATTTCTCTTGTTAAGACTGCAGATTCTAACCAATCTAACTCTATGTAACAATTGTATTGAAGATATATCTAAAAATTTATTCATAATAGGAGAATAGTTTCTATAATATCATTGTTCAAAAACTACTTATTAAAATACACTTTACCATATCCATTACAAAAGTTCTGAATTGAATATAAAATTCTTGGAGAATATCTATTTAATCAAGAATTTTTTTTGACCTATTACTGTGATTATTTTCAAGTGAATGTTATATGCAAAATGTCTCATTTAAATAAAGCGAATATCACACACTGTTCAATTTATCCGTAAGCAATTCAGTCTTGTTCTAATAAGTTTCAAATTAAATTTTGTCACAACAACAAAGTGTAAAATCTCAAACTGTTTAGTACAATTACTTATTACTGCGTTGCTTGAATATTATAAATTTGACTAAAATGAATATGCAAATTATATTTGATGAGTATATATTGCATATGCATAAAAATCTCTTCCTATTTTCTTCTTCAAAGATAGTAAAATATTTAGATAGTTTCGGACGAACTAATATTTGTTCATTTATGTATTCAATTGTTAGTAAAGACTTTTGACTGTCTACTAGCAAGAATAGATTTCGATAGCAATCTTCATTACATAAATAAACAAAAAAAACATCTTGAAAATGCATAGATACTAATAAGACATAGAGAGCGAAAAAGAAAGAATATTTATTTTGCAGAATTTTCATGCTCTGCTAAAGCCATTGTTGTTATGCATATAGAGTGAGACTACTTCTGTTTTTTCTCCATGTTCTCCTCTTTCTTTCACTTATCTGTGTTCATATACCCTCGCTCCATATATAAATGCCGCTTAGATTCATTATTTCAATGAATGTAGCTGTGAGTATACAAGCCCTAGATTAAGTCTTACACACGTATGTATTACATTACCATTGTATAGGACGAAACATGAATATGGTTTCGCAATAGTACTCATACTGTAATACAGCCGTAGTTCAAAGATGCACGATAGATTGAGTAATATAGGTATGGCAGGTTTTTTTATCATAGAAAAATTCATCGTAGCGCATGCAATCGTTCTGATAGAACGCATCTTATCAAAAGCTATCTTTGATCACAATTTTATCCCTTCAACATGGTTATGATCCTGACCACTGTACAAAACAGTCGATTTACATCAAATATTTCGGTTTTTTTCTCTTGTACTTTCTTACACTTTGACTGTTTCCAACACTATATCATGCAATCGACATTTATTGAAATACAAGTTTGTCACTGAAGCAAATTCTCATGAATCGACACTCAACTAATTACAAATATATAGTTTTATATGTTGGATGTGCGAGAAGTTCTGAAATGATTTTAAAATTGATCGTTCTCACTTTCAACAAAAACAAACTCTATAAAAATTTGATAAATTATTGAACATAGTCAGTACTAGTTAATGACAATGTTTGAGCTCAATAGCTTTTACTATCGACGAGAAACTGAAACAACATTATCATGTACTATTTTGGAAAATTTCCTATTGCTGAAATTTGATGTGAAGAAGACAGAAAAGTTATGCATTCAAAACTTCTTGAAGTGACATGTATCTAAACAGAAAATTATCTTTGAACAATCTTTTTCTCTCTTCCTGCACGTATCAATCAGGGAGATATATAGGATCCAACATCAGTCCGTTCTGACTAAATCCATCAAAGATGTCACAAGAACCACGTACGATAGATAAAAAAAACCTATTCCGTTCTTTCGTATTACATTTATAAATCTTACATCCATCATGGAAAGCGATCGATATATTCCTTATGAATTAAAGAAAAAAACAAAACCAAAAGACAAATTTCAGAAAAGTATGAGGTTATCGGATGGTAGTTTTTCTCAATAAATGTGTAGAGATGATCAGATTAGAAAGTGGTAGTCGTCTTAAACAAATGTATTTTATTGGTGAGAGACATGCTGAGTTTATTCGAACTATTGTAGCAGAAAAAAAGCTGTCAACGAATTAGGTGATCTAAGAAAATGTCATTTTTCAGGACGACCAAGATCGT